TTTTTCTCGGATGTCGACTGCCTCGCTGTAAACTCCCTTGGCCCCATTTAGCGCAACATTGTAGGTCCACTTAAGCTAAGTATGATCACTCACGGGCTATTATTACGCTTCACTTTGGTCAGTAACTCAGTTCTTGTTCACTGACAAAAAACAATCGCATGATTATTAGATCACCACCTACCTGTGCGCCTACTATGAGGATACGCTAAGATGAAAACAGTAAGAACTCTTAAATTCCACAGCGCAGATGAAAGAGTGCACCAGATAAGGTGTGCAAAACCTTTGCCTTCCGGTTAAATTGAACAATGTAATGCAAGTTGCTATGGTCATATAACATAGGCAAAATGTGGTATTGAATGAGTGGCTGGATAAAAGCTGAAGGATTATTTATGTGGAGGGGGAGGTAGAGGCTTATGTTAATTGGCTGTGCTAGAAGAAAACATGCCAGTAAACTTCCACATCGACGTCGCTCTGCCCCATCAAACTGTATGACGGTTGGTAGTTTACTAAAGGTTTGGCTGAAAACAGAAAACTGGTGCGAATTTTAAGCATACCGTATGTAATGCTTGCATCACTGCGTCTACGAGCAAGAATGTTTCAATACTCCCACTGTGCTCTCGTGGACATGAATTCTCGGTGCACACGCTGGTTTCTAAACTCGTGCGATTAGGTGAAAGAGATGAATTTGAAAATAAATCATCGACTGACCTGGAAACGAAATACGTGAGCACTCAGAATTATGCGTGAAGTACAAGTTACCGTTGATATCCATCAAACAGCTGCAAGCATTTCAGAATCCAATTGATTGTTTGGAGTATATTTATTTGATGAAATAATTTCAAATGGATGTTATTGTTTCCTCATGTTTCTTATCTTGTGGATTCTATTTTTTTGGTATTCAATGAGCAATTAATTCAAGCTGAGTAAAAAATGAATGAACTTTATGAATCCACTGTGCATTTTGGAGAGGTGATAGCAGTGCATCTTGGATAAATATTTTCCTAGTTACTTGAAATTTCGCTAATGTGTTTGTGGTAGTCTATTCCATATGTTAACATATCTCATTTCATATGCATCAAGGCTTCGACTGAATATTCATCATTCGTAAATCGGTTGTTTTCGACCAATTCTCAGTTTCAGTTTAAACAACCATCAATCATGAATTTCCGCGCAACGCTTTTGATTGCTGTCTTTTGGCTACCCATTTGGGTAAACAATAAGAGGAAAACAGGAAGGGTCAATGTAGGATCGAACATAAATTGAAAAGTTCAGTGGACTAAAAAAGCAGAGATTTTGAGAAGATACACGAACGCTACTGTTTACGACACCCAGCCATATCATTCAGCGTGTTTAACCATCGGCTACGACCGTCCCGAAGTCCCCATCCAGGGAGCTTAACAGGAACTGTGACCCAGTCTCCTGGTTAAGATTTTCCTATCCTCATTCAAGGTGTTAGCTCAACCACCCTTGACTGCATTTCACCCACTATCTGCCTCGGTAAACATCGCTCGCAGGAGCATGCTATTTGTTTGAGTGTGTGTAATACGTTCCCAAACTACTTGCTCCAGTGGGCGACCGCGGTTGCCTAAAACTTTGCTCCTAACCTCAGCACTGCTCGTCCGGCTGCCCCACCAGATTCGTGCAATGCTGCGTAGACAGCGATGTTCAAACGCTGACAGTCTCTCTTCATCCTGTTTTCCTAATGCCCAAGGTTCTGCTCCATATAGCTGAACTTACTGAACTGCTGCAGCATACACTTGAACCTTCACAGCCACCGATGTTTCAAATTAGCAAATGCCAACCAATCCTTCTGTATGTGAGCTGACACTTCTTTCGGGATGCGTCCACCGGGTGAGATGGAGCAGCCCAGACGACAAAACTTTTCCACTTGCTCTCTAATTTCCCTTGTTAGAATGAGGCTGGGTAATGGACCAATTCTATCACAGACCGAGATATCTACCATGAATCCCGGCAATCCATTTTTAGGTGAGATCTCTGATCACTCCTTGAGAACTTCCTTCCTCTTGCCAACTCCAGTTTGTCTCGGTTTTTGGCTTAAAGCCAACGTACATTGAAACAAAACAAGAAAATTATTGTGACCTTTGAAAACTGCGTTGTATTTGCATGGAAAGTAAATGACAGCTTTTGTGTCTAGAAAACACAATCGATAGTATTTGTACGTACACAGATATTGCTATGCAAAACAAATGTCAGCATCATGCCTCAATCAAAATTACTACACATGGTACGTGCATAATTCGAAATGCTTCAGTACATACAAATTTCAAACATGAATCAGATCAAAATTGTCTGGAAAAACGGTTCGTGAAATCACAAAGTATTAGTTTCAAGTCAGTGTTTCCCAGAGCTCTTTCGGTCTTCGTTCTTCCGAGGGATCCTGGAGAATGGTGAAGGCAAATAGGGATGTTCGTGAGCACACTGTATTGCATTGTCTCAGTCAATTGGACAACCACGCGTGCCTCATTTTCTTACTCACGTGCACGTGACTGAATACTGTCAGAACGACCAACTCTACTCCCACTTGAAATAAAGACGCGAACCCATCAACCATTACACAACCGAAGAGACTATGACAATGTTTCCAGAATGAAATGAGTTATTTTCATCAAGTCAAGTGACTTGTGAATAAAACAAAAAGAAAGCTCATGAAATATACTACACACCATGATTCAGGTTTTATTTTCAAAAGGAATTCCTAAAAGAGGTATTGAACATTCCTAAAATTATTTTTTCATAAAACCATACTTGCCTGCTATAGAACTGCAAAAGCCGGGTTGGTAATATGTTCCTATCTAGAGAAATATGAACACGATTTTGGCTATGCAGGTAGAATTATATTTGACTTGTTGAAACTGAATTCGATTCCGTGAGCAACGAGTGATTGAAGAACGAAACGTACTAAGGAGGAAATCATGCTATTATGAGGTACTCGAAATATTGACACTGTAAAACGCATCCGATCCGCAATTTGTGAACTACAGAAAATACATATTTTCCGGCGCATGACCAACACTAGGTAAATAGAATGATTGGTACATTGATTTGCACAGCGTGTCTGTCACCTTTCGCTAAAGATAGAAACTTTCTCGGCGGATCTCAATATGAGAACCAAGGGATTATGGGACACAATGAAATGTTTTCTTTTACCTTAAAGGATGTTTTTATTTACAAATTATCGGAAGCAAATCCACGTATTCGATGGATTCACGCCATTTCCCAATCCTCATTTTACATCTATTTTAAGACAACCATTGCCGAAGGAAGTTTCTTTCAACTCGTTACAAGTGTCGAAGCAGGTATTGACGAGTTACGCGCCCCATCAAGCCCATAAAATTTAAAAAAACGCACTGCAGTCCAATACATATTACCTGCCTTTCGGGGGAAGTTATTGATCCAGCTGGGTGGTTTGCAAGACTGACTCGATGATCTAATAGGAGAATGCTTCCTCTATGCATTGAATGAACTTGATGTTTTTTCTACTACGCTATGAAGTTGTCTTTCTTGATCTACATATTCCTATTCTTCTCCAATTTCTGAATGCGATTAATCAACGAGAGCTTAGTCAAAGGAAAAACGATGCAATCAAGGGGGTAAATGGTTTGCAAACGTAGTAGTGATTACATGTCACGCTTCCTATTTCTACCTGTAGTCCGTTTATCCGGTAGATCGGACAAAGACTTTCGGTGGATTACTCTCTAATTTGCGTCTATCAGTCGACTTGGGGCAAGCTATGTGATCTCTTTTATGAAAACGTAACTGTAAAAGCAATTGTCCGCTTGTAAACGTTTTGCGCTCCACTTCCACGAAAAGTTTATAAATCAAATTTACAATTCATCCGCAGACTGTGTGAGCCTCTTCTCCACTTGATTTGCTTCGTGAGATCATTTACTTGTTCCTTTTGCGTAGAAATTGTTCGTTCTGTGATAACGAATCGATCACCTGTCCATCGCTAAGCACACGGGTATCTGTACTCCTACTTACTGATAACACGTGACTCAGGCAGCACATCTCGTTCTGTTTCGCTTCATGTTCTACGCCTTTCGAAGCCGACCCAAGTTTGGCCCATTTGTCCATATATCCTTGTCATGCCACCTGATTGCAGTCATCGATGCGGCAGTTTCCCTTCAGACCGTCAGTTCACAAAAGGCTGATACATCTGCTTAGAAGTAGGGTGCCACGGGTTCATATGACAGTCGCTCATATCTAGACGACGAGAGTAAAATCTTTTGTCGTTCTCCCTCATGTATTGAGGAGATACGTTAAACAACCACCCAAAAACCATGAAAAAATAATCCCAATATTATTGCTTTTGTCATTTAGTATCGAGTGTGGCAAAAAATCTTACCTTTTTCATAAATGACAAGTAGATAAACTGCGCAAAATGTGCTATCACGGCTATAAGTGCTCCGCAAATCATGAAAATTAGAGGTCCGTTCATTTGTAGTAGATGTATGGTCCATTCCCCTGGCATTTCATCGGGAGTCATGCAAAGGGCTTTGGAAGGCCATCCGAGCCAGTGACTTATTGCTCTATGCTTTTCACCCGACAAGGACACATTCTGTGTAAAGTTGGATACAATGGGAGGATTCAATTATAAGTTTTACGATTCCAGAAAGCGGTGCTGTTCGAGGATAATTTTTATTGAGAATTTCGAATGGGAAATCACCAGTTTGGCATACTTAACACAAACATCTAATCGAAAATATACCATCGCAGATCCCGTCCACAAGACGGGTTATGAACACAGCAATCAATAGTTATTCTCTGAGATACAGTAATTTGCCCTCCGTCATCATTTTCAATTTGTGACCGTTAAAAATATTCACCAACCAGGTTATCTACTACTCACGAGTGAGTAGTATCTCACAACATAATCACTGTTCATCAAACAAAATTTTGAAGTACAGAAGATGCAAATGCAAATAAAAGTCAGATGTTTGGTTTTGTATACACCGGTCGGAACTATTCGATATTGATTTTACATCGGTGTTTTGTATCTAGGACAGTCAACCGGAAGGACGGATGCTTCGGACGAAAGCCGTTTATTTAAAAATTATGGCCAGTGATATCTAATTGTATGATGCAAGCCTATGATTATGGGAGATTTCACTTTTACTACCATTATCACGACCAAATTGCACTCACAAAACATGAATTTCACAATAGATGCAACCATTTCGTACTTTCTCATCCCAATTATGGATCGTGTGAAAGCAAAGCAGGACTTGATGGAAAATATGAAAATTACCATGCACGTGTTTCATTCTTGTTTGATATCATTGACAAAACGAAACCACGAAACCTGTAGTGAGATGGAACTGAAGCACATTAAGCAGAGCAGAAAGGCATTGAACTTTCAATCTCCAGTAAGTTATCAAAACTGTTACACTCCACGGTAGATGATGAGTGTGACCCATCAATGCAAGTATATTAAGGGAAACGATATTCTATCAAATCTCCGCAAGTTACGATGAGTTTTATCCGGTAACAGGTTATATTTTCAAATTCTACCGGGAAAACACGAGGCCTTCTATCCGTCGAAAAGCGGCGATGCTTTTTCAGCACAATGTTACATCACCACACAGTGGTTTTACTGTGATAGCCCACACTTTGCTGAAGGTTGGATTGGAAGAGAGAACTAACTACAACAATGCTCTCCAAAAGTACCCAATGCGGATATCCAAAATTTACTGTATATTACAGAAAACCAAAATCCGTTAGGGACCACCAAAATGGGATTTATTGATCAGTTTTTGATAAGCTCGCAAACCATTATTTTCAAACCGATAGAAAGTTTACGGATCACATTTTTTGCACGATCAAACCAAGATGGGTAATTTGAAAAATGTCGTTGGGATCAAAGTGGATTTCCACATCCGGCATTCACTTGTGCGTATGCAGTGATGTGAAATTATTAGGATCTAATAACTACAATGTCACCAATCACCAAGCCGAAAAGAGAACACAGATATAGAACAGTATATTAATTCAAGAACACGTGTCATAGAAAGTCTTGGTAATTTTATAACTTTTAGTGCGTTCTGCACCGTTCGCAAATTTTTCACCGAACAGGAACGTTAAGAAGGTTGGAGACACACTGTATGTTCTGTCAACCGTGTCTGGAAACTCATTCAGTACACACATTCTATCTATTGGGTGTTTTCCCGAGCTTGTTAATTGTTCGACGTGTTGTTTTACTTGAAATCTGACCCTCTCTTCCATTCTTTCTTTTTCACTTGGATCAATTTGAAAACAAGTTACCCGATTCCTGATGTGATTAGTGTACCATTTTGAATGCATCTGGAGGTCATTTATTGTTTAAATCGACGGAACATAAGTTACGGATTGGTTTCACACCGCGTCGAGTCTGATTACACAATGAGTGTGACTGAAGCACTTCGGCCTATCTACGGTGTTCGAGGTGGCAGATCAAAGCCGATTAAAAATCGCATTCTAACCACCACAGAGGTGGCTGGAATTCGTCCGCATAATCCTCCCTTGTGCGCCCAAAAACAGTTTGTGAAGTCACTCTCAACCTACCATGACCCTCTATCTCCCATCCTCATCCTCCCAATCCCACCGCAAATCACACAATTAACACGGACCGAGCTTAAGTTCCGATGGCAGGCTTGGCCATATCCGGTTTGTGGAATTCGGACAGAAAACAATAGCAACAATCCCCATTTGAATAATCACTAGTATTGTTTCCTCTTTTCCATACGAAATGATGTGATATGAATTGTGACTTATTAGCCAGCTGATGAGTCACCGAAAAATACTTTTCGCTATGCTGCGTTTTTCGTTCAATGTGTGTCTCTGGTATATTCCGGGGTGGGTTTATCTTCATGACGAAAGTTTCCGGTCACTAGTTATAGCACAGAGAGTGTTCTAGAACAATAGAAAACTGTTTGAATCTGTTGGTTAATTTACCGTCTCCACAGTAAAAGGCCCACCTGGACAACATTGATCACACGAAGAATTAGGCGCTTTCAAAATCAAACTATGGATTACTAGTGGTGAAGTAATTGCAAGATCAAAGTTTTCTAACTCACAATAAATTCCATCAGAAAAATAGACATTGCACACTTTGGACGAATCAAAGTTGCACCAGAATTCATCAATGTTATGTGATGTACCCATGATGTGCGCGACGAGACTTAACGAGGTCGAAACAACTTCAGTCCAGGAAATGTGAACTTTGTTTTCGGATTTCGGTGCTGCGCAGCTTTGTTTTGATAATCTGTGAGTTGAGAAATTGAGCGATCACACAATATACTAAGTGAAACTTCAGCACAGTTGTACTCTTTTTGACAACTTGGGCATCACACCAGACATGTTTGGTGTATATTCACTTAAAAAATGCTATTGTTTCCCCCAATTTATAGGGAAAGCTTAAATGCATCATTGGAATTAAAAGTACTCAGTGAATCCTACTGGTTCCATTTGAGCACCGTTCGTAAATACATTGGAAAACGATGCGAATGTTGGCTGTGGCAAACTCGTTTATCCCTGTGGACTGTTAGAATTTGTTTCTATTGATCATACGAAGGTCGTTACCGTTCTGGTTTAGCAATGACCACTTTGAGCAAAACATGAGGCGCGGTGAATAAGAGCACTGTAAACCCAACAATGTTCATTACAAATTACACAAGACGTGACATTTGTTTCAGTAGTACTCTAGCACACCTTATAAATGAGAGCTGTCCGCTCTAGAATTAGTAACACTGAATACTCTCTGGCCATAACCTAGTGGGTATTTTTCAGACAGGGCATTTTGTGAAAGAACGAAATGTGTATTTAATTACTGTATAAAATATTCCTCAATATATATATATATATACATATATATATAAGTTATATTGTCGAATGATTGTTTTTATATGTAGTGTTATTATGCAGCGATCTCTTGATAGCTAAGATGACTGGCTCACGCGGTTAGTGCTTCAGATATTTGGGCTCTTGCTCCCGGGTTCAAATCCCAATGAATTCGGCGAATATAAAAAAATGAAACAAATTGGCTGTGCTTCATATGCTCTTCCGTGGTGAGTGGAACCTTGTTTCCGTATTACAAATGTGCTTTCTCTTAAACCAGTTTGCATATAATTGATTTATTCTACATATAAATTCAGAAGTTTGTGTGTGAAGCCACGTAACCGATCAAATGATTTCCGAATCGTTAGTTAGAAATGCTCAAACGAAAATTGAATGCCTCCGATACCTAAACCAATCGTATAATGCACTGCAATCAAACCAACAATGTGACAATTGAAGTGTACAAAAACGCATTTTACTTATCAACGAAGTATTGGAGCCGTTTCTGAACTGTTATCTTTTATTTTACAAAACTTCTTACCAAGTTGAAATTGTTCATAGTTTGAGCCACGGATGATTTGATGGTTAGAAAACCTGTCCAGATGGAAGGCAAGTTCCACATTGATGTCACAGCTGGATCGATACATTCTACCCGTGCTGAGGACCAGTGCCATGTCACATTCTGCTCATCTGTGTACTGTTCATCAAATAGCAACTGGTGCGCAGTTACGTGATCCACAAGAAGTGCATACGATCCGTTTCTGATCGAGTCCAAGTCAATGTGTATTCGACCGGACCGATCTCGAGGCAAATCGATCGCATCCACAATGCGATTGGCCTTGTTCCGTGCCAGTAAATCACACCAGGGATGATTTGTTTCACAGGCAATCGGATGACGTGGTGAAATGACCAGTTTGCGGGCGTTCTCAATTTGTTCGATCGGTTGGAATATCAGTCGTACACTTCCTGCGGCATAGGCGATCACACAGATCAGGGCGAACGCGTACCAGAACAGTGCTAGTGTGATTCCGGCCCAAGATCTAGGGAACTTTTTGTACGCTAAGAACAAGAGGGAATGGGTAACTCACAGCTTCAGCCTGTCAGCCAAAATAGGAGTGCACAAATCTNTTCTACGCACCTATTTGAAAAATAAAGCAATTTGATCTAAAGTAGAGTCAGATTACAATTCGAATTAAGCACAACCGTTTTGTTACACTGGACTTTTAGTGAATATACGTTTTTTGTATGTACCATTTCGTCGTAAACAGTGCAACGGAAAACGTGAACTGAAGACGGAGCAAGCATGATGGATGTAAATAAATTAAACTTATTTTTATTTATTGAATATATGAAAATACAGGTGACATTCAGGAAGGAGGGCCGGGGCCATGCAATAGAAGACGAGTGCCGCTGCTGGAGCGGTTGGAACCCACGATGCAGTTTAGTTGAAATTGTTAGGTTTCATTTGCAGTATGAATTCATTAACCAAACTGAAGATGGAATCCAAGAACTACTGAAGAATCGAACAGCTCGTCGGGCAGTTTTACTTTGTCTATACGCAATTCAGAATAATTCATCTCCACATTCGCACATCCGGGCACAATTCTTCAGTGGTTATGCCTTGATTAAAACCTAAATACTTTTGTAATTGGGTAGTGGGAAAATGTATTTGATTATATGATGCATTATCTTTGTGTGCAGTTGCACAGTGTATCGTAGCTCTTCAGTTCTGATTTCCCTCTGCTTGACAGGGTAAATCATCAAATACTGATACGAAAGCTGTACAACTATGGAATTCGGGGACTCGTACTTGGCTGGATCGAGGAGTTTCTTCGCCTTCGCACCATGTCAGTTCGTGTTTCCGATTCAGTTTCGGATCCGATATATGTCAACCGTGGGGTTCCACAAG